AAATGATTGTATCAATCGACTTGAGAATGGTTCAGGACGGACCGAAATGTCGTCGTCCCTTCACCTTCTAGTGTGTGGTCTGGTCAACATACTTCAGCCACGTTATTGTGACTCATCGCCTGCGAAACGATTGTAAATGTTTCGGTTAGTTTCTTGCATCAGATTATTATAGTGACGTATTATATGTAAGATGAAATATGGATAACAAAACAGTTATAAGGATTGTAGGATAACATAAGACGTTATTCAGGATTTTTTAACTTCATCTACAATTATCTACTCCACGTAAGATTAAATATATGAGATAATAATGCGTTATTTTATGTAGTCTATTGTTAGTTGTTTGATTATTAGTTGTTATTTTTTATTGTTAATTTTCATCATTGAAAATTGATTGGTGAGACTTATTAAAAATTGAAAATTGAAAGTTGAGACGTATTAAAACGAGTGAAACAATACCTGTAATGCCATGCAAATTATCTTCTGTTATGTTATTGTTTAAAATGTGAAGTTATGAAACTTAAGTCAGCAAAAATTAGAAATTTAGCTTAAAGTTTTACCAATTATTCCACACGGACTTTAGTGGCATGCGGTTAGACATGTATTCACCTAGTTGTTCTTGCGGGGGTTGAGCTCTGCTCTTTCGGCCCGCCTCTCAACTGTAACTAACTACTAACTTTTTTCTCCCACACACACACACCAGGAAACAGCTCCGTAACAGCTGTCTAACTCCCAGGTACCTATTTACTGCTAGGTAACAGGTGCATCAGGGTGAAAGACACTTTGCCCATTTGTTTCTGCCTGGTCCGGGAATCGAACCCAGGCCACAGAATTACGAGCCCTGCGCGCTGTCTCCTCAGCTACCAGATCTCACCCTATATGTATGGCAGAAGTGAGTTTGGTTTTGTAGCAAGTCAAGGATTTAGTACCATCGTTTCATTCAATAAGCTTTTTAAGCCTATTATAACGAGAAACGTGTAAGGCTTTTTTTATATATAAATTTGATGCAATTGAGCTTAGGGACAACATCATTGTGGAAAAAATACATTAGTGTTCTGTTTAAATATGACTCCATTTGCGGAATCCTAATTATTTTATTTATTATTGAAATTGAAATTGAAATAAGTTTATTGAGGTAAAATACACACAAAGGGATGAGGTAGCTCAAGCTATTCTCACCCCGTTCAGTACATCGTGTTAATACATACATATAAACACATCACAAACAATAAACATATTACCAAACATTCTGAGAGATAAACATCTACATTTCCTTATTTATTATTGGTTTCATTTACATGCTTGGTGAAGGGAGGGGGTTGTGGTGGCGTGGATCCCCGCCTGTTGTCTCTAAACGGAGGTGACTCACGTAACAACAGCCCCGCAACTCTTAAAAAACTCACCCCAGTGCGTGCAGTCTCCTGCTTGCGTCCCAGCATGCTCCCCTGCTTGACTTTGCCCCGTGTGAAAAGGCAACTAACTGCAAAGCACAACTCGTAGGAAGCGATAGTTACTATATAGAAATTCGAAAAGTTTACTTTTCACTGTACTTTTAAAAAATTGTACAAGATTGTACAAGAATGTACTTGTACAATCACTGTACTTTTAAAAAGTCACTGTTTGTACCATAAGAAGATCACTGTTGGGGCTTTAACAAGTCACTGCTTGTATCATATGATCATTGCTGGCGACTTGAAAAGTCACTGCTTGTACCTTAAATCGCTGCTTACATCTTAAATATCCAACCCGTTCTCGCACTTTCGTATAGTCAATATTGACTTATTAAATACGTGCATATGTGACATACTAAACATACTAGTTTACGTTGAAAAGCTTCATAGAAAACACCGACCATACCTAACCTTCTTAGTATGTTAAGATAAGCATCTTATTGCTTCGTAATTACAATTATTACTTAACCTATTATAGGTATAGGTTAAGTAATAATTGTAATTACGAAGCAATAAGTTGCTTATCTTAACATACTAAGAAGGTTAGGTAAGGTCGGTGTTTTCTATGAAGCTTTTCAAGGTAAACTAGTATGTTTAGTATGTCACATATGCACGTATTTAATAAGTCAATAATGACTAAAAGAAAGTGCGAGAACGGGTTGAAATATCCCTGCTTACCACGTACAATTGTGTTTAGATAACCATTGACCTGTCTGTCATATAAGTAGATATTGCGTAACTCTTAAAGACTTCCACAAAGGATGTTTGGTAAAACTTAATTCCGCTCGTCTGCTACAGAAGCATCGTGTTCAAGTTGGGATATATTCTGTAGGAGTTTAGTGATTGAGTCAGTAGGAATTAAGAAATATTCGGAAAAAGTGTTGTGCTGGATTTAGGAAATACAGTATTGTATATTGCGGAAGCCTACTCATCAAGTTTAGGAAATATTCTGTAGAAGCCTAGTGATGGAATTGGAGCATATTTTGTGGAAGTTATTTGGTATTCTCTTGCATTACTAATTGTAGCCTGAAATCCTGATATTCAATTGATATATCTGCTTTGGAGAAAGTTCAACTTAGAGCGACAAAAATCCTCATAGAGTGATGATACTCAACAAATAGTACCTGTATTCTCAAATTTTGACGTATTAGAGAGGCCAAACATTGGTGCAGCTTGATGATGCGGCTATAAATCATAGCGGCTTGCAAAAATGACGAGCTCCGAATATCTCACTTTTTCTATTCAATTCATTCAGTTGAATAGTACATCACATTTTGACGAATAATTTCCCTTAAAGTCAAAAACTGATTTACTAAAAATGGTAGCGGCTCGCGAAATTGACATGATGTCCCGTTTTCTGTTCGTGGGTCCTCGGTTTGGTTAGAGTTGGGCAACTTAGTATGAGCGTTTAGTGACATTGGGAACGCTTGGAAAGAACAGGCTGTTTTATTCCTGGGGTCCTGGTAGTAGCAGTAGTACAATGTAGTGCATCATTTGTTGACGTTCGTGACAACTGGATACAAAACACTTCTTGAAAAGATCCAAACACACTCAAGGAAGCAACAGCTTCAAGGTCAACAAGCCACAACGCAGTAGGACAGAGAACATGAGATTCCTTTTCACAGTTTATTTTTTTTTGGGGTTGGGGATTGGCGTATATGAAGAACTGTGCACCTGGCAGTTTATGGGGTACCTGTGGGTTAGGCAACTGTTGTGGGCTGTGTCATGGGGAAGATAAGTAGTTGACCTGGAGTGATTTCAATGGGCATAACCGTCTTCCTGTAGCCTACAATGGGAAACTATCCCTACTCAGTATTAAGGATATGTTATAGAATATTTATACTTTTGTGGGAAGCTAGCAACCAACACAAAATAAAAAGTAAGATGTTTTATTTGCTTAATAAATATTAAGTATAAAGATGAATAAGTAAATAAAACAAAATTTAAACAAAATCAGAAAATCACTTGTAGCACTAATCCAGCCACGCACCTATACCTCTGGACCATGATGTGGAATCCTATGTTAATTTTTACGTTGATCTTACGATAGTTTCATGTTGATTTTACGTTGGTTTAACATAGATCATACGGTGGTTTAACCTTGATCTTATGTTGGTTTAACCTTGATTACTTAATGGCTTAACGTCGATCTTACGTTGGTTTAACGTTGCTCCTACGTTGGTTTAACGTTGTTCCTACGTTGGTTTAACATTGCTCCTACGTTGGTTTAACATTGCTCCTACGTTGGTTTAACATTAGCTGATTATATTGCCCTCCAGGTTGCCCTCATTTCCTTAGGGTTGTTTCTGGGATAACAGGGGATTGGATGCTGCACGGACCAGTTATAGTGTTGCCAAGGCGACTGGTGATTGGACGTTGCTTGGGCGAAAAGCAATTGGATGACAGGTAACTAGTGGGACCATGGATTGGAAGTAGCTGTTATTCAGGTATTCAACCAGGTATTCAATGTTGCTATGAAAAGCAAGGATTGGTTGTTGTTATGGAAACCATGGATTGGATGTTGGTAAGGAACTCATGGATAGGATCTATCTTCTTGGGGGTTATCATGAGATGATTTTTGATTAGTACACTCCCATATGTGCCCTTGTAAATACAGTACTATCGAACCTCTAATATTTTTGCTATGGAGGTTCTGTTGCCAAGCTCCAAAGCTACAGGATCTGAGCCTAACAACAATGAAACATGATGCTCTTTTTGTTTCAAAATAACTCGCAATGATTTGTTTCCCGTGTATTTTTGTATTTAGTTCAGAGTGAACGTTTTGTGTCGGCTAAATTAATTGGAAGTTGGTGATAGAGGTAGAGGAATATAGTTGTATGCCGGTGAAGTTTGGTTTGTTGAACGTATAAGGCCTATCAACCTCTGAAGGATTTGAAGACCATCGTAGTTATTGATCATCCAGCAAGTATACTTCGGTTCTAAATATTGTCCAAGACTAAAGTAAACTTTACGTGTATATACACCGAGAATGTGGATAGATATCTCGGTGTATATATCTCTTGAGGGTGAGGTTATAGCGTGGGTGAACACAGAGGTATGCAGCGGCTGGCAGCGGTGGGCGTGGCCGCCGGCTACCTGGCATCGCGCTACCATCCCTGCCAGACGTACGACGACCACCGCGCTCCCTGCTCGCCCTTATATATTAACGTTATTTCCTGTATAACACTTATGTATCGCCATATTAATGCACGTTTCCAATTATATCAATAGTGTGGGCTAACATTATGGTACTGTTTTAGTTTGTTTTATTAAAAACAAGCGGACTTTACTAACCCTTTTACCTGTTTATAAGAAATTTGACCTGAAATAATATTCGCCTCTAAGGATCCCCCATATACATATCCTCTGGTTTGAAACATGCATGTATATATGTATGTATATATGTTTGAATATGTATCATCTTATAATACAAACAAGAACAATCTATTCACGGTTTATCCAAATTACAAAATAAAACTTTTTCCCGTGCAGAGAGCAAGAAAAAAGAATGGGGGAGGGAAGGGGGGGGGGGGGTAGATTTAATAGGTAGGTGGCAACCGAGGTGGCTGGGAGGGTCGAGGCGGCAAACTCAACTTTCCCAACACCAGTGTGTGTCTACCTCTTGTGAGATATACAACCAGCCTTCCACTGCCCTCCTCATCCTTCGTCTACTACACCACTCCCCCCAAAGGTAAGCAAGCACCTTCTCCCCCATCCCCACCTACCTTATATGTGTTGCGGCCGGATGTTGATATGTAACACCATGCTTGGGGAAGTGTTTCTATCAGGTCTTATTATATCGATTTCTGGAGATTTTCATCTATCCTTCAATTCTCTTTCCTCCCCTCTCCCCCCTTCTCCTCATTCTCTCTGCTGCCCCCATCCTCTTCATCCCCCCATCTCCTCTTCGCCATTGCTGGATCGTATACAAAGGAGATTTGGCGGTTTTGTGCTTGAAATTTGCTTCGGTCTAATGCAAATGAATAGATATAGATAGATATCGCTCGGGCATTAATGCGCTGCGATATCAACTATTTTTTGTGGTGGTGGGGGGTAGGGGGACTGAAAAACAGAAGTTTAGGGGAATAATCAAGCTAATGGCAAGTTGATCTGACTGTTAAGAGCAATATGAAAATGTCACGAGTGGTAACTTTAGCTACCGTTCTGCAAGACTGTAATTTGAGATTTTTTTTTTTTTTTTGCCTTCGGTCCGATGGTGGTGGAAGTCAAGACGGCAGTTTGGTTTTAGCGGGAACCTGAAACAGCGGTCCTGGGGAACTTAACGCCACGACCTCCAGGCTGAGGGACTGTTGAAGTATCAGATAACGAAGGAGGGGGGGGGGAGTGGGGGGTTCGAAGGTGTTCCTGAAGGAGTCCCACAGGTGGAGGTTCTTCGGGCGTCCCTCCCCGGGCGACCCACAGAGCTGGAGGTTCCCCCTGGTGCTTCTCTCAGGGGGTCCCCTGGGTGTCCCAGGGAGGGGAGCGTTTCTCTGGGGAAGGTTCCCTGGGGTGTCCCAATGAAGGTGAGGCTCGCTCTGGGGGCCTCCCATATGGGAAGGGGTGTGTGCACGGGAAGAGAGGGCGTGTTGTCCCCCTGGGCGTCTTACTGGGGAATTGTGGGGGGTATCAAGGAGAGCCCCTTAGTGGGGGGGAGGGGTGTCTTTGAGCGTCCCTCTGGAAGGGCGAGGTGGGTGTTCTTGGGCCGTCCCGAGGGGCTTGGGACGCATGCGAGTGTGCGCATGGCTGGGAGGTTGGGGGCGAGTACTTGCGTTCGCGAGAGGAGTGATAACCCTTCCATAGAGTACCATAGAGATACCTATAATAGGCTTGCACAGCGATTAAACGTTCTTGGACACCCCTTTGTTGTCCACTACAGTACTGGTGTCTGGTTAGTATCCCCAGAAGCACCCCTGGGGGGTGTAGGGTGACCATGTGGGGTGTCTGCTGGACGTTGGGATGTTCAAGTACCGCGTGGTCGCGCTGGCTCTTGGAGGAAGCGAGTTTATGTATATTCGTAGCATAGTATTTGCTTTGGAATGTTATGGATTTCATTCTGTTCCTCCATTCCTTGTCTGCGACACATTTCCATCCGCTCCTCCTGCTCCCTTCCCTTCACGTGCCTGTCCACTACTTTTTTCTAACCCCCCCTTCATCAGTAGCCACTCCTGCTTCATATCCATCCTTTTAGCACTCCTGCTTAGAGGGAAGCATTGATGCTTCCCCTACTTCCCCTTCATCTGCCTCTACCCCAATGCTCATTTCCCCTTCATCTACCTCCGCCACCCCCCACCGCTCCCTTTCCTTTCTTCATCTGCATCAACCTCCCCCCCATTGTTTCCCCCTTGATCTGCCTCCGATCCCCGCTTTCTTTCCTCACTTCATTCCCCCCCCCCTCCATTTCCTCCCGCCCCCCACTGTTCTGTTCCCCCGTTCTTCTTCCTCTAGCCTCTGTTCTATTCCCCCCTTCACCCCTGATTTCTTCCCCCCCCCCCCTGGCCCCCTGCTTCCTCTGCTCTCTTATTCCTTCACCCCTGCTCTTCCCCTTTATTTGCCTTCACTTCCCCCTTCACCCGCCTACTTCCCCTGCTCTTATCCCTTCACCTGCTTCCACCTGCCTCCGTCCACCTCCTGCTTCCCTTTCACTTTCATCCGCCCCTGCTCTTTCCCATTCATCAGCTGAACAACAGTTTGAAAATGACATTGCGGCAATAGCAATGAAGTAGTCTAAGCAGTTGCAGCCCAGTGATCAGGTTGCGGGGATAGGGAGGAACACTCTTAGAGAATATGTTCAAAGGTATGCTACTAGACTAGTCCCATAACTAAGAGGCGTGAGTTACGAGGAAATGCTGCGTGGATTGCACCTCACTTCGCTGGGAGACAGAAGAGCTTGGGGAGATATGATCACCACATTCAAAATTTTAAGTGAAATTGACAGGGTAGATAAGAACATGATATTTAACATGGGTGGTACTCGCACATGGGGACACAAGTGGAAACTGAGTACTCAAATGAAGCACAGTGACATTAGATGTTCTTTTTCAGTGTCAGAGTAGTTAATAAATGGAATGCACTAGGAACTGAAGTGGAGGAGGCTGACTTCATACACAGTTTGAAATGCAGATATGATAGAGCTTGAGAAACTCAGGAACCTGTACACCAGTAGATTGACAGCTGAGAGGCGGGACCAAAGAACCGAAGCTCAACCTCTGCAAGCACAACTAGGTGAGTAGTGTGAGTGAGAAGAACTCAAGAGGTTACAGGAGGTCTACATACTGGAACCAGATGAGTGTCCAACTTAGGGTAACAATAGGCGACCAGAAGCAACACTAGACAGAATAAAAGTTAATGTGGAAAAGGTTAAAAGACACCTGGAGGAACTGGACACCACAAACGCACCAGGACCAGGAAAGATATCACCATGGTTCCATGTAATTCCTATATTCAAGAAAGCGGGACAGACCTTCATAACTACGACTGCCACTAAAATAGTCGTAGCACTAAAATATAGACCAATCTCATTAACATGAATTACATCCAAGATTCTAGGTCACCACAAAAAGGATTGAACATTTTGTGAGTAAATTTGATAATGGGCACAGCACGGCTTTAGCGAGGTGAAAATCTTGCTTAAACTATTGAATTGTATGACAAGGATTCTATAATGTTGAGAAGTAATTAATTAAGAGGTAATTGGTTGATGGTCAGGTATAAACGCTAGGTGGCGGGGCATAAGAGCTAGATCTCACTCCCCCCCCCCCACACATTCATTTATAGGTAAGCACACCTGCCTTCGTCCCTCCTTAATCTGCCTCCACGCCAGCTCTCTCTCCCCTCCCCCGCCTTCATATACAGCCACCCCTGCTCTCTTCCCGCTTCACTTGCCTCCACCCACAGCTCTCTTCCCACCCCTTCACTTGCCTCCACCCACAGCTCTCTCCCCACCCTTCACTTGCCTCCACCCCTGCTCTCTCCTCACCCTTCACTTGCCTCCAGCCATCCCTTCACTTGCCTCCACCCCTGCTCTCTCCCCACCCTTCACTGGCCTCCACCCACCCCTTCACTTGCCTCCACCCACCCCTTCACTTGCCTCCACCGCTGTGCCGTGTGGTTACCTTGCGTTGGTTGCAAGGATCAACATCCCCGCGGTCTCTGACCACCAGGCCTCGTGGTTGGTGGTCTGGCCAACCAGACTGTTGAACGCGGTTGCTCGCAACCTGACGTATGAAACAGCCTGGTTGATCAAGTATTCTTTGGAGGTGTTTATCAAGTTCTCTTTTGAACAACGTGAGAGGTCGGCCAGTCATGCCCCTGTTTAGAGGCAGCTGGCGGGCGTGGCTGAGAGGGGGTGTGGGGCTGGGTGACTGGCGTGGTTGATTGGGGTGTGGTGCTGGTTGAGAGGGTGTATGGATGGTCAGTGGATGGGAGTGGTTGAGAGTGTGGGGTTGACTAGCAGTCGTAGTTATGAGGGGTTTGGTTGATGGTAAGTAAAGGGTGTAGGATATGTTTGCGGGCGTGATTGCGAGGGGTGTGGCCGAGGGGCGTGGTTGAGGGTATGCGAGGGGCGTGGGGGTGTGTTTGTAGGCGTGGTGGGGCTGTGTGAAGTACAAAAAAATAGGCATGATAGTGGCTGTGTGTTCACCTTTAAGGTGGCCGCAGACGGCGTGGGTGTGCGTATGTTTCGTGCGTGCTGGCGTCTAGTGGTCTCCCTCGACCCTCGCCTGGTCTCTCCCACCCTCGCCTGCTCCCTTCCTCCATCTCCCACGTTGTCTGCCAGTTTGTAGGACTGTTGTGTCCCTCTAGGGCTTGATTGTTTCCTGTCTGGGTGTCTCATATCCGAAGTGTTCAAGTGAGCCTATTGTTCTTCATTTTAACAAATCTGTATTTACTGAAAACCTTGTACTCTATTTGGCATCCAACAGTCTGCTGTGACTGCATTGTAGTTTTAGGGTGTTCTTCTTTTTTGAGGTAGGAAGTGACTGTTGAATGACTATTTCCTGGAGGGATTTGGTGGTTGTGATGGCTTGATATGTTATTAGTGATTAGTTAGTTTGTACCCGTTGGGTGAGGAAACTTTTGTAGTAATGTGGTTCAAGGAACTGGAAGATCCTATTTTTCATTGTTTGTGAACTTCACAATTGCAACCATTGATCCATGTTTTCATAGCAGCTAAAGTACGGCAGGTCTTGCTTTCTTCCAAGTCTTGTTGTCTAATCTCCGCATATCCGTTGGTAATAAGATATAGTAATGTTATCGTATTATGTGTATCTTATAGAGGTAACTTCACCTTTCTAGACTTGCGTGATCTTGCCTAAGATCACTGAGAGAGAGAGAGAGAGAGAGAGAGAGAGAGAGAGAGAGAGAGAGAGAGAGAGAGAGAGAGAGAGAGAGAGAGAGAGAGAGAGAGAAAGAGAGAAGAGAGAGAGAGAGAGAGATTATTTGGTAGCGTCATTCATCTCGAGTGATCGAACTGCCATTTTCACTTTGCTATTGCTCGGCTACAAGTACCTCTGAGAGTTTGCAATATCTGCTGATGTAGATTTGACTAAATGTAAACTCTTGTCAGCAGAAGTATTCGCATGCTTTGCATAATTATTTAATGGAATGTGAAAAAAGTCGCGGAATTCAGAGATAACACCATCATTGGAGTCCAAGAAAATGTGTAAATACTCTATTTATAATGATGTACAGCCG